TTTAAAATAAATAAAAATATGGCAGCATTCAGAAGAAGTTGCTGGCAGTGGAGCAGCAGGCTGTGGTGCAGGAGACAGAACTGGGGGTGGTGGCAACACAGCTGGCTGCGCAGCTTGGCTCGCTGAATGCAGACAGGTCAGGCGTGGGGACCTCGGGCAGATTAGGAGGAGCTTTGCTGGCTCAGGCTGAATCTGAGGGCTCCTCAGGTGACCTGGTGGTTTTGTTTTGATGACTCAGTTGGTTTTCGTATTGTTCAGGACCCCGGTGCAGAGCCAAGGTGGGAGAGTTTCTAACCCTTTATGGCAATTGAGTCCAAGTGAGTTGGTCTTTTATCCCAGGCCTTTCCCAGTTGCAAAGTCTTATGGTCTTACAGAGTGACAGGCAAGCAGAGGCTAGATGTCTGTTTATGCTTCCTGTGACACCTGCCACAACAGGGGTTGAGGAAAGGCCTGAACCTGAGTCCTTAGTTCCCATCCCCCCGAGGAGAGTTGTGAGAACCTCCAGCCTGTGGTTATCTATCTCAGGCTGGTGCAGGTGTCATCTTTTCCTCTAAGAACAGTCAAAGTTGAAAGTACAGGGCTAAACAAGAGGGAGGCTGACTGGCTCGCTGTGAAGGAGCTGTCCTCCCGAGCTGCAGCCTTGTGCTGGCAGAAGGGGTGAGGAGCAGGAGTCCCAGCCGCCCTGGTGATGGTAACTTCACGATGGGGGAACTTCTATTCAGTGGCTGTGGGCTCTCAGGGACTCAGTTTAGTAGGGCTCTTCTGAGCCATCTCTTCAGGCCCCACAGGGTGCAACTTACTTGTCAGGGCTGACAGTCCGAGTTTTTCAGTCAAAAATGTGGAGCCTAGAAGGAAGCACTGACGGTCATCTGGGGTGGGCACTTGTGACACCTCTGATCAGGGTAGGCTTGTAGGGAGAAGACTCTGGGGAAGGGTCTCTGAGGCTGAACACAAGTGACAGTTGGAAGGAGATGAATTGGGAGCAGGGACAGAAGCTGTCTGAGGAGGGTGCCAAGGCAGGCTTCTCAGGAAGGCTGAACCTCTTGAATTTTGTGAATCTTATTTGACATTCTCATACAAAATAGAAAGACTTTTTTTTTGGCAGAACTGGGGATTGAACTCAGACCCTTGTGCTTGCCAGGGAAGCACTTATTCTACTGAGCCGTCTCCCTGGCCCCTGGAAAGACTTTTAAGAACAAATTTTCATAAGAAAAAATGAATTTAAGGCATTATACTTATT